ACATTTCAAGAAGTCGTCTGTCATAATGAAAGACTAGGTGGCAGTGATGAGGTATGTGAATTATTTCTTTTTTTTTTATTTTAGTTATTTTATTAAAAAAGTTTTATTTCTTTAGTGGTGCATTGAACTTATCAAGCAGAATTAAAATTATATATATATCAATATTATACATTTTATGATTCACAAGGTAGCCAATATCTTCGCGTTTATTATTTTAAAGTAAAGGCAAAGCATATTTATTTAAATAAGGAAAAAGACAAAATTTAATTAACACATTCATAAGTCTGATCAATGTAAGTATAAAAAGATTATTTATAAAAAATGCTAATAAGAATTTTTACGATGAACGCAGGAATTAACTTCTTAAATTACAAATTTACGGCAAACGAAATGATTAAATAAAATTCTTGTAATATATATACGTGTTTATGGAATTTATAAATAGCATTTGAATAATTTACCCTGCAGCATTATACATATCAAATATTTTCTTTTATAGTGGCTCGCTATTTAAATTCAATTTGTAGATTGATTGGTGATGAAACAACTTATGTACTCAACACGGGGGCATCATTTGGAAAATTCCAAAATCAATCTAAATGGTTGACGTTAGACGAATATGTAAAAAAAAGCGACACATAAAACATATTATATTGAACGATAAGAAAAAAATAGTGAGCGAATATAACTTTTGTGTGGTCAATATTTCGAGATTATATGGATTATAATGTGTGTTGATTCTTCTGATTATCAATCGCTCTCTGAAATTTTCCTCGGACTAAAATATTTTAGAGCTTTAAAACAACAACGTAGTGTTATTTAAAGTTCTAAGTTCTTTTTTCATCGAATAATAAGATTTGCTTTTAAATAACATTGTGAGTTACACAAAATTTGTAAATTAAAAGAGTTTTACGGAGGTTAGACTATCAATTAAATAATCGGAGCTGTGGAGAAAAGTCAATAAATAATATCTGAGGTTTGTATAGATATAATATTAAAAAAGGATGTTATTTTAATATTTTTCATATGTATGTTTAAAGTAAGACCCAGAAATTCTCTCCTGATCAGATGCCGAGAAAATTTCCGTAATGCGTGAAAGAAAGAAACTATTGATTGAGAAAATTGTAAATCAGGATATGACAACGAGGAAAAATAATAACGCACAGTTGTAACTTTAACTACCATCGGGATTGAAAATGTAATGACAACAGCAAAAAATTAAAAAGAAATTGAGTTATTTGATTATTATTTAAATAATGATACTTGACTAGCCTATACTACCAGAAAAATGAATGAGAAAGAGCGTGTCGAAATATCACTGTAAATTCAAGCGGAAACTGTAAAGAACAAATCATCAAAATTTCTTTCAAAAGGTTGAAAGGTTATGTTTACTAAATTTTTCCTTTGATAAACAAAATTATCAAAGTTAAAAATGACGTAGCCGATTTATATGTTTATTGTCTGATGTAGCGATTTAGATATTATATTCACGGATACCAAAAAAATTTAATTACAAAAAAAAAAAAATAATCTATGAAAAGAATTATTATAGATAAAAAAGAAAGTTTTACATTTTACATTTCATGATAAAATGATTTAGATGATTTAGATTCATGCTTTTAAATTGCTGCAACTGCATTCTTATTTTTCAATTTCATTTATTACGGTTTTATATTATTTTCTTTATTTAATTTTTGATAATTACTACTAATTTCGCATTCTGGTTACAACGACCGAATTATTTTTTTGACCGGTTACATTACAAAAAGCTAAATCATATGTAATAACAAATTTTTTTTTTTAAAAAAAAATTTCTATCCAATTAGCCAACTTTTAATACAAATAAAAATTTTAAAATCACAAATCTAGGAACATCGAAAGAATAAAGTCTTTTTCAAAGTTATTATTGATGAGCATAGTGATATTTTCAACCTCAAGGAACTCTTTACTCATCAGAAAATTTCTTGGCGATTTAAAAGACGTATAACTTTCATTATGGTAAGTTGGTTAACATCGAATCGAATACAGTAAAGTAATATCACTCTTTATAAATTAGAAAATAAGATAGATACCATTGAAAGAGCTTTTATTGGGTCGCAGAAAACATCAGAATTTGTGAGATTCAGGTAAGCTTTGAGTCAAAATTAAGCGATATACCATTGTAACCTTTACTAACTTTAATCTTAAAATATGTCTTAATATGTCTATTTAGAAAAAAATGTAAGTTGTAATAAACTAAGCGCTGCTCACTTTCAAATTTTGCATTCTCTTTCACTAAAGTTTTTTCTTTTCTAACTATTAGAGAAATAGAACCTAAAAATCCTTAACGGTTAGTAAACAGTTAAAATATTCTTTACCTGTTAATTAACCATTAATTTATCTAGGCTGGCATTATAAATTTGAGCGAGCTAACTAAATTTTCTATAATCAAAAAAATCTTAATTCTGGCCGAAAATTAAATTTCGGCCAAAGCAAATGACTACTATAACCGGTTAGTTTCAACCTCTAGAGAAGAGGTAAAAACACATATCGTTATAATTAATTATTACTTTTTTTCATGACTTTTTTCCATATAGAAATTCGCTATTTTTGAGAATAAAATTTATTTTCCTCTATACACAAAATATGTATTTGGATAATTCTCTCTTTGAAGTCAAGAATTGAGACCAACCGTTGAAGGTAGACTTATGAATAACAAATATATTTATTTGAAAGAGAGTTTAATATACGATTATTGGAGAAATTGAATTGTGATGAATTTTTATGCTTGTTAATGAGTTTTTTCTTGGAAATTAAACCTTTGGATCACATATTACAACTATTTCGGCATTAAACATATTTTAAGAACATAATAGCGCAGATATGTTCAAATTTACTGTATGTCTGATTATGTTAAGTTTGGTTCATATACGTCTGAATGAAAGATAATTGTTATACTCTGAACATGGACTAGCCATTAGAATTGATTATTCCTATGCGCAGTTATTCCTCCATATCAGTTTCTATTCAAAAATATAAAAAGACTATTATTTGAATAAATAAAATATAATTGTTAAGTGCGGCTTGATTTCTTATATAATAAAGGGATAGCACATCGACGATTGACATGAAACTTTGTTCAAACGATGACCAATCTAAAAACTAAAAATTATCTAACAAGAAAATAAGGATATAAAGTGATAGAAATTTTAATCAATAAGTACAAATCAAAGTTATTATCGCAATGAATTTGAAGGAAAGTTTAACTTGCTTATAAGAGCCATCCGAATTCTTCATGATCAGTATAATAACTCGTTATAATTAACGCTGAAATAATAAATTTCTATTATTTCTATTGAAAAGGAACTATTTTGCTATTGATCATTTATTTTCAGAATAAAATGTCGTGGAACTATATTTATTTATTTTTTAAATCAATGATTACAGCATTATCCACAACGACATACATAATCAGTATCTAACATTAATTTGTAGTTGGGAGGATAGGAAAATGGTAACAAGCATATCCTTTGAAAGCGATTTAATGTGAATTAATTTGGACAATTTAATATAAGTCATAATCAAAGCATTCTAAGCATTATATATCTATCGTAAAATTTTTATTAATGTATATTTTGAGACAATAAAATTTTTTTGCATTTGAAAATAAAAGTGATTGCCGTTAAACAAATTTTAGCATCTAAAAATCTTATTAATATTTGTCTATGTTTGATTAAGTATTATACATCATATTCTAATGCTTTGGAAGCATAATCTGTATGATAAAAACTCTAATTAGTTTGTATTAATAAAAAAAAAAGATTATATTTAATTTAATGTTAAATTTTCCTCCAATTTACCTTATTAGATTTTTTAGATTCATTACAGTATTTATCTAAAATAACATTTTTTCTATTTAAAAAATATTATACGTCATAATTTAAATTGATAAATAAAGTTTTTATTCATACCGTTATGGTTATTATCATCATACTTTCTTTTACCTATTGAAAGTATACATAAATGATAATATATAATCATAATAAAATGAATCTGATTATAATGATTTTTTGAGCTTGTAGGTTTTGTATAATTTATTATACTACCTGAGGTAAATTTATTTGTAATTACAGGACTAGCATTTAATGATTTAATAATTTTAGTTGGATTGTTTTCTTCTTTTAATATAATTTGTTCGATAATATCACATATATTACTAGCTGATGGTCTTTTATTCGGATTAGAATGCCAACAATTTTGCATTATTTTAATATAGCCTTCAGGTGCATTTGTATCAATTGGAGGACGCAAACCATCACAAATTTCAATAATAAGTGATGTATCATAATCTCGATCCCAAAAAGGTCTTCTACCTGTCATTAATTCCCACATAATCATACCGAAGCTATATATATCTGAAGTTTCAGTATATTTTTGTCTTTGAAAAATTTCTGAGGCAATATAAGGCATAATTCCATAATATTCATTATTATTTTCTGATACTTCAGTTGATAATTTACTAATTCCCAAATCACTTATTACAATATCATAATTATCATATACATTTTCACAAAGAATATTTCCACTATGAAAATCTCGATGAATAATTTTTTGATTATGAATGTAATTAAGTCCTAATATAATTTGCCTCAAAATTATTAATTTCTTATTCCATTGAAGGTCATTAAAGTTTTCATTTATAAAATGGTTTAAATCATATTTATAATATTTCATAATAATTGTGAAATCCTCTGTAACAGGATTTTGAGTAATTCCATAATATCTATTTAAATAAAATAATGAATGTATAAATCCATCATTTAAATCAGCATTATAAATCATCATAAGCTGAATTAAAATAATTGTATTAATATAAAAATTTTATTAACATTAAATAAATATAAAAATTTAATAATATACCTCATTTAATTCTTTAAAAGTGATATTTTTTGAATTTTTAAGTTGCTTTAAAGCAACAATAATATTAGGATCATTATCTTCAAAATTTTCTTTTTCTTCATTCCAATATGATGGACCATTTTTCCAAATAGCTTTATAAACTATGCTAAATTCCCCTTCACCAATTTTTTCTATATTTTCAAATTGGTTATAAGGAATAAATTTCATTCTGCTAGATTCTTGAATAAAATTAATTTGTGACTATTTAATAAATTCATCAACATATTTATTTTCACTTGGCCTATATAATAATGTAGATTGATAACAAATTATACAAATTTTATGATATTCTTTTAAAGGTCTTCTTTTTTTAAAACAGTTGTTACATTGATTATAAATATCATTTTCTAATTCAATAAAAAATCCTTTTATTGATGAAATCTTATTAATTTCATAAAAATCTGATTTTATATTTTTATTTTTTATAGCTTTTTTATACCAGTAAATTGACATTTCTAAATTCTTTTCCATTCCTTCACCAGAAATGTATAAACATGCAAGATTATATTGTGCATTTGCATCATTATTTTTAGCAGCTTTTTGATACCAATAAAAGGCCTTTTCAAAATTCTTTTCTGTTCCTTCACCAGAATCGTATGAATTTGCAAGATCATATTGTGCACAAATAATTCCATTTCCTATTGCTTTCTGAAACCAATAAAATGCTAAATTCTTGTTAACTTCAATTCCAAATCCTTTTAGATAGCATCTACCCAAATGTAATTGTGAAACAGGATAATCAATTGATGCTTTTTGAAAATATTTAAATTCATTATTATTATTTTTTAAAATAAGCATATTATAATAATAAAAAATTCCTAGTAAGAAGGAAAATTTTGATTCATTATGATTTACTTTCAGCCAGTTAAAAACAGCATCGGTTGATTGAGTAGAAAAGGCAATACATTTATTAAGAAAATTCTTAGTTTCATCAAAATTTTTGCCTTCATCTTGTGTTTTTATCAAAAGTGTGAACAATTTATCAATTAAAGTATTAATGTTATCTGTTGGATTAATCTCTGAAATGTAATCACATTCAATTTCGGTTTTTGACATTAATACTGATTTACTAAGAAAATTTAAATTGTCAAATTTTTTTAAATTAGGGACTAAGCTAAATTTTTAATCTTAGAAAATTTTAAATGGTGAATCATAAGTTCGAAATTTAATTCCGGAAATAATTTTTAAAAAAGATTCTGGTATATAATTTTTTTATTTTAATTTGATACAATATAGAATGTCAGATCTGCAAATTGCAAGGTTAGAACAATACGATATTAATTTATTATTGTATCAAATTTTATTGTAAAATTCTATAAATGGTTATAACTGAGATGGGCTGACCCCGATAATTTAAGTATCAATAGATATTAGATAATTACGACCCGAAGCAAAACTAAAATTTAAATATTAAAATTAAAAATAAAACAAATTAATAAAAACATACCGGCTCTTAATTCCGAAGTATGCCAACCCGAGAAAAACTTAAATTAATTGCGACCAGTTATGCTAAATAAATTAAAAAAAAAAAAAAATTTAACGAAATGAAAAATAAATTAATGAAAGATAAAAAAGTAAACTGAAATAATTTCTGTGACACACAACGATATAACCCAAAGAAATTGCCTATAAAAAAAAAAATAAAAGTTAAAATAAAAGCCATAACAGCAGAAGATCGAGCTTATCCTCTGACACTAATCCGAAAAAGAACCTAGGAAAAAAATATAAAATTAGAAAAATAATTAATAAATAAACAAAAATATAATTTACAAAAAATTCTACCTAATCGCAAATTAGAAGTTAAATCGTATCGCTGCAGTCTTGAAGTTTCAAGGTGAAAAAAAATCCTCCAGGAATGGGACCTAAAAATGAAAAGGGCGCAAATTCAATAAAAAATTATTTATTCGACCGAACCTAATACTTTATTTCTAAGCTAAATTATAATTATAACGCTTATTTCGTCTTTTTTGATTTTAAATGGATTGCTGGTTATATATCTTTTTTTTAATAAGCTTAGTGTGACGCCAATCCATGGAACTAGGAGCTCAATAGCTATCAATTTCTTATTTTATTGAATTCTTAAACAATTTCTTCTTCCAACTCTGTTTGCAAATTTAAATTCTCTGGTTGTAGCTACATGTTCCGATTAAAAATCACACATTCAAATCATATGATTATTATAAAGAAATTGTGCTCTATCCCATATTTACGGTTAAAAATATTCTTGAAGCTTTTTTTGTTATGCGCATTGCTGTAAGTTTAGGTTTATATTCTCAATTGATTTTATAAATAATAGCGTATAAATAATAGCGTAATAATAATCTAATACAACGTAAATAAATTATTGCCTCGATTGTCGGCTCTCTGCATATTGGCCTGAGGATAAATTTTAGGAAACGATGTCCCGATAATGATAAAAAGTAATTTTTTAGTAATCAGGGCAGCAGCTAAATGATCTGATAACTTATTCTGCGAAATAACTAATAGGCCAAACGTCAATGCGCATGTGCACGAATTAAAAATCATTTGTGCTCTATAAATACTCAAGCACATGAAAATATGCATCGGAATAAAGGACAGGTTTATGATCCCCGAACGATGACTGAAAAAGTGAATGAAAGGATATTGTAGCATAAAACTGTTTTCTGCAAGCGCTAAAGGTGATAAAAGAACCATTGGAAAATTTGGTGCTAGCAATCCTTTAGTGAGATCTCAATACGAGCAAAGTTGTTACGAACATATAATTGCGTGGCTTGAAATGCAGGATCATCTGAATTGTGAGAAAGAAGCCAAATGAAAGTAACAAAGTTAAAAGGATAGTAAGATACAATAAAGAAAAGTTGCTCTATGAATATTTCTCATCATTCATCTTGATGGAAGAACTCGTAATAATTGAACAGCCTCGGTCCAACATATACTGCATCTGGTCAGTGACATCCAGTTCATGTCAGATACTGCTTATTCCCAACCTTATAATATTGTTTTTTATTTCAGGTGACGCTCTTCCTCACGTACTGTATCAAAGCTTATGTTATCTCCTATTTTCGTATGAAAGGTAATTAATGTAATTTATTGTCCGAAGCGTAGCTGAAGGACATTAACGGACTAGTGTGTGTGATGCAATGTGTGTCTGTCACGCCGCGTGATCGTCCAATTAGTTTTTGTTATTTTGTGTCACACTTCGCAGCAAAAATTACCTTATTGACCCTCCTGGTGCTACTTTCTTGACCCACCATGACGATCATATATATTTTGTAGTTATTTGTTTTATTGAACGAATATCATAAATTTCGTCACATGACTAACGCGAGATTATTATGCAACTTTTAAATGAAGTTGGAAAACTGCTAATACATGTATCGCGTAATTACGCAAGTGAATTAGAATTTAAGGAGAAAAACGCGTAAATTATCAAGCGCATTTTTACCCTCGAAAATAGATTTATTTTCCGTCGGATCAAAAATGCAAACGAACAAATAGCGACGAACGGTATTCCATTGAAATTTTTTTAAAAAAAAGAAAGTAAGGCTGGCACGAAGGTTTTATTGTTCCAAATAGTAAGCATGCAAAAAAAATGATGGATTGTAAATCATCGAAATCCTCCTCCCTGCATCTGCTACTTGTATGACGTTCTTAGGCCTGGTTTGTTTATTAATTTATTTTTATTATTTACATATCAATTTTTATGACTTTTTGTTTATTGTATATTAAATATTAATATTTTCTTTATTTACTATTATATTCTTTTTTCAGAAAAACATACTAAATGCTCTTGTTTTTAATCTGTTTGAAAGATAAATGTACTTGGTCGTGGACACGCTACCGATTCTAGATAATAAAGTTAGTATTTTTTTTTTTAAAAAAAACGAGGATAATTTGTAAAAATATAAATAAAATAAAATAAAAAGAAGTTTCGAATTTAGAAGCTTCGATGCGATCGAGAATGCTTCAAAGATTACAGATTTTACGTAAAACGAAATCATTTCGAACTTTATAAACAGTTAAAGAAAAATTTTGTTAAAAAAAGAATCACTTTTTTCAATAAAATAAGTTCATATTTTTAACACGTTTTTTATACGTAGGCTATTTTATTAATGCTATGAATCCTGTTTATTTGTTAGAAACGAATAATGCTATTCAAAGAAGTGATCTTTCTTTCTTTTATAGGAACCGGTGAATTAACCGCTAAAATTGTTAATTATAACTCCGACCCGAATGTAAATTTAAGATGATTGTGATTACAAGTATTTCGCTAGCTCCGCTCAAAGTTAATAGTGCCGACCTGAGTTAATACCGGTTAAGGCCAACCCTCTACTTTCTTTTGTATTAATTCTTTGGAAAATTATATTGCTTGTGTTATTATTAAATCACGTGGATAATAAATAAATAAATGAATAGATAATTTTGTACAAAAAAATTAGGACTTTAATCATATTTAAATTAATTATAATTATAAAATTAAAATTAATTTTCCATCACGTTGTACATAAAATAAATAATAATTTTGGTCTAATAAAGAAGGCTTTGATATTTCAGGAAAAAAATAAAATAAAAAATACATTTGAATATTTAAATTCCTTATTCTAATATAGATTATACATATTATAAACAAAAATGTCATATATCAGATTTTAAATACCATTTATTTGCCTTGTTCTTATTCTGAACGGTCCCTATTCCTTTTGCATAACATTTTCCTAAATAATATTGTCCAAACTTATTTCCTCCTTTAGCTGATTTTTCATACCATTGAAATGCTTTCTTCTCATCTTTATCTATACCTTCACCATGTTGATAACAATAACCTAAGCAATATTGTGCATCATTATTTCCTCCCTCTGCAGATTTCGAATACAATTTAAGTGCTTTCTCCTTATCTTTATCCGTCCCTATACCATAATAATAGCATGTTCCTAAATTATATTGAGCGTCATGATTTCCCCCTTCGGCGGATATCAAGTACCATCGAAATGCCTTCTCTTTATCTTTATTTGTACCCATACCAAAATGATAGCATTGTCCCAAACTGCATTGTGCACTAGTATTCCCACCCTTAGCGGATTTCAGATACCATTTATATGCCATCCTGTCATTTTTACCCACTCCTCTACCATAATAATAACAATCTCCAATAATATGTTGTGAAACCACGTTTCTTTTTTCTGCAGACTTTAGATGCCATTTAAATGCTTTCTTTTCATTCTTATCCGTTCCTATCCCGTGCAAATAACAATTTGCCAAATTGAATTGTGCACATAAATTTTCACCCTCAACAGATTTTAGATACCATTTCAATGCACTCTCCTCATTTTTATTTGTACCTTCACCGTATTGATAACAGTATCCTAAATGAAATTGTGCATCAGGATTTCCTCCTTTAGCAGATTCTAAATACCATTCAAATGCTTTCTGTTTATTTTTTTCTGTTCCTATGCCAAGTTGATAACAAAATCCTAAATTATTTTGTGCACTTAAATTACCACCTTCAGCAGACTTCAAATAAAGTTCAAATGCTTTATTTTCATTTTTATCTGTTCCTATACCAGTTTGATAACAAAATGCTAATTTGTTTTGCGCAATATTATTATCTCCTTCTGCTGATTTAAGATACCATTCAATTGCTTTCCTTCTATTTATTTTGACGTCACTCTTGCCATAATAATAACAATCTCCTATTTGATATTGTGCGGACGAACTTCCCTTGTTAGCGGATTGAATAGTCCAATCAAACGAATTTCTTTTACTTGCAATAATGTCTTTATAGTAATAAAATGCTAGCAAATATTTTCCAATGGTACTATTTAATCTTTTAAAATAATTGTGATCCATATCGTCGTCATCTTTGATACTAACAGCCAATAAATATAATTCCAACGCTTTGCTTTTATTGATTTCACATTTCCCGATACCATATTGATAAGAAAACCCAATTATGCTAGAAAACCATAATTCCTTGTTTTGGTGATTTTCCATTAATTCAATGTAAATTATTTCATCAGCGAGGCGAATCCATTTGATGATTTTATTTTCAAAATTCTCAAAATCATCAATATTGATATTATATGCGATTTTATGATAAAAATCTTCAAGAAATTCTTTCAAATAATTTTCATTTTTTTCAGAGTTTAGGTATTCCTTTTCTTTTTGTGTGCTCATTTTGTGGTTGTTCAATTATTAAATTTTGTTTTTGAAGATTTGAAAAAATTACCCGTTGAATATAAACAATTAAAAGTTAGTCGCACAAATGTATAATGTTGATCTAATTAATTGAAATGAAACAAATATTATAAATATTATTTTCAACCTTTTTTCTTTTTTAGGAGAATGTGCATAATTGTTTTTAATTACATAATTTATCTTATGTAAATCGAAATCATATTTGAGTTCTCAATAAAAATCATTTTTTTTGATCATGGTTTTGTGGCATTCTGTTTTTGTTGCTATAATTTATTTAGATTTGTCCTTGGACATGCGTTCAAACTTTTCAAATGATCTTTTCTATTGGTAAATATTCCGAATTTATCTCTCAAGTATATTTTCTTTATATCCGGATAAACATCTAAATTAGGTCAACAATTGGTAAAAGATGATTTGTGACAAAAATATGCAAAGTGCCACCCAATTTTATGGTTAAAATTATTTGACAAATTAAATTGATTAAGTGATGTCCAATGGTTTGTTTGCCTTTTTTTTTTCATTTTTTCGTGTTGTTTTTTATTTATACTTTTCTATTAAAATATTATACAAATTTAATTTGAAGAGTAATTTTTAGTAAAGTTGGTTCATGATATTCAAAAATAAAATGAAAACACGGGTTGTGTGGTTTATTCATTATCGGAAATTTATTTAGGGCTTGGCGTTAATTAAATTCCGTATAGGACTTGGCATGCAGAAATTACAAATAAAAAATTCTTCCTTCATGGTATTACAGTATGGTATTACAGTATTAGTAAAAGATCAAATTTTTAATGTAACGAATATTTATAATCAGAAAGATGTATTCTGATTATCTTTATTCTGGCCGAAGTCAAATTAAAAATGTTACTGCGCAAATACATTCCGATATATCGAACTTTATATAAACGTGTCCTTTTATCCCCATATCATTGGTCCTTTTTTTTTAAATATGTCAATTTTTTAATTTAAATTTTTTTTTTTTAAAAAAAAAAAATTGCGGTGATTATGAATTCCATCGCTATTTTTTTCGTTGTGATGATAATGCACGATACAAAGGAAGATAAAATGTTATTACACATAATAATTCAATCACTCGATAAACAACGGAATTTAATGGCTTTTAAAATTTTTTTTATTTATTTCCTTCAAAACAACTAACGAATTTTTCTACTGACAAGGAAAATCGCAGGTTTAATTATCGAAATCCATCGAGTGAAATTGTTATAATATTAGAAATCATTTAAATTATTTAAATATGTATGCAATAGCATACTGGTATTAGAATGCAACCTTTGATGAAATAATCTATTACTTGAAGTTTCTGAATTTGTGGATGAAAATGTTGACATATTGCGCTCTAAAGGCAATTCAACTATTGTAGTTAAATTTCTTGGAGGCCTTGTTGATGATAATGAGGGTCTAGGTGATGATAATGAATGTCTTGGTGTTGATAATGTACTAACCGGTGGCGCATCCAAGGATAATCTATTTATTGTCATCGTTTCTGGCGTCGCAATAGATGTAACATCTATGGAAGAACTACTATCGCTGCTTGAAGAACGAATATCATGGTCATTCATATTATCAAAATTTCGATTGGTTTTAGCCAATTGAAGATGTTTTCCAATTATTTCGTCTTGTAAAACTATCATTATAATAATACAAGCTACCACAGTACCAATGTTTCCCAACGCTAGGTGTAACCATAAATTTACGATTGTCGGTATTAAAAATTGCAAGGATTCAGTAACCACAAATAATAGAATTGCGAACGCAAAAGAAATGTTCATGATTAATACTTTTACTGCGGTAACTTTCCTTTTATACCTTAAGTTCTGTCGTTGAACTTTCTTTCTTAACGCGGTAAAGATATATACGCCAAATAATATAAATTCGATACCGACAAACCCTACTGAGACGGACTCCAGCACATAAGCTAATTTGATTATTGATTTAAACCAAGTTGTCGTGGTATTCAAAAATGATAATGTTTTAATTAAAAATCCAAACATAAATACAGTTATGCAGAACGATAAAATATACGAATATATTTTACTTAAAATTGTTGTATGTTTGGAATAATGTTGATGTGTTTGACATATGATTGATGCCGCCTTTTTCCATTGAATTTCCAAAATTGTGAAAATGATGAACAATAATAGATCTTTTGAATTACTGATAAATGCATGAGCAAATAAACTTATTCTTTCTTCATGAATATTTCCAGGGTCGACCGTTAATATGATAATCCCTAATATGCAAACGAGTGCAATTCCGGGATAAATGTAAAATTTAATATTTTTCACTGCAAATCCAAATTTTTTATAATAGCTTACTAATAAAAATGTTGACACGATGATTATAATAACGTATATTATACCCATTATAACACTCAAAGCAATCCATGATGAACTTGTAACTAAATCATACCACTTGCTCTGTCCAGATGTGATTTTAGCACGAGAAATTTCATTTCTAATTTCTTTCAATTCAGATATATCCTCATGTTTTAATAATGTTAATCCAGGTATGGATTTTTCCAATACACCTCTATCACCACTAGAAAATTCCTTGATACCAGGTTCCCCTTCATTCGTAGAAGTGAAGACAATGACTTTAGGAATATATTTAAACGAAATATCTTGTCTTCTTCTTAACCCAACTTTAACTTTTGTTTCTACAGGTGGGATGTTTGCTGAAACTTCTAATTCGATTATTTTATCTTTTGTAGGTTCCGGAGTAGATTTATCAGTTGGGGTTGTAGCAGTTGAAGTAGAATCTCGCGACGTCGTGTCTGGTGTCGTATCTTTCGGAGTATTGTCTGTAGTTGTATCTTTCGGAGTATTGTCTGTGGTTGTATCTTTCGGAGTATTGTCTGTGGTTGTATCTTTCGGAGTATTGTCTGTGGTTGTATCTTTCGGAGTTTTGTCTGTGGTTGTATCTTTCGGAGTATTTTCTGGATTAGTATCTTTCGGAGTATCTTTTGGAGTATTATCTGGATTAGTATCTTTCGGAGTATCATCTGGTGGATTCTTATCAGCCGGAGTTGTATCTGGTGGATTTTTATTGTTTATTGGATCATCTGGCGTTTTAGGAGCATTAACAGTTTCTTTTGGTACTTCTTGCGGTATTTCGTTATTTTTGGCGTTATTATTATCGTTAACCTTGGCGTTATTATTATTATCGTTAACCTTGGCGTTATTATTATCGTTAACCTTGGCGTTATTATCAGCGTTAATCTTGGCGTTATTATTAACGTTGACCTTTGCATTATTGTTATTGTTATCGTTAACAACATCTTTTGCCTTGGCGTTATCTACATTGTTGTTGTTGTTGTTAACATTATTATTATCGGTGTTGGGAGATGGAAATAATGCTCCACTATCTTGTTCCCTGCTACCATCATCATTATCATCATTTGGAACTTTCGACGAGGGTATATCGACATCATCATTATATTCCCAATTATTACTTTTAATTATGTCTGAATATGACATGCATCCAACATTGTATGCATCATGAAATGGTACAACAAGTATAGTGTCCTCTTCAATTAAAGGTAAATTAATTATTTTACAAGCGTCATCTTTATCGTTGTTAGGTTTAACGAACGATGCTATAAATAATTGTCCTGAAACGCCGTAAGCTGGTTTATGTATTCCCATAATATCTATATTTTCGTATGTTTTTATCTCATTATTCGAAGAATCATATATTGTTAATTCAGCAGTATTTAATTTAAGGATATATAGGATTAGAATAAGGAATGTTAATATTGGATGGGTGTTGAATACGATATATGAATTGAGGTTTTGGTTACGATAAAATAAAGAATGCATGTTTTAGATTATTCACGATAGAAAAGCTGGTCTAAAAAAATTATCGTATTCAAGTGGCAAAGAATGAAACGCGGTGAATTATTTATACGAAAGAAACGTTGAAGTGTTTACTTCGGGGAAAAAAAAATTGCAACCGCTTTAAATTAACAGAATGAGACCTTTCTTAGCTTTCTACACAACTTCTAAAATTTAACTCAACATAATATTATTAATATGAAAGAAAAGGAAAAAGATTGAATAATCAAACTGATATGATAAGAGAAAAGTAAGCTTAAACTGAGGAAGATGCTTCATATTTATATTCAGAATAAGATTAATAATCTTATTATGCGGAAAAATTACATAAAAAAAAATTTTTCATTGTAAACTACATAAATGGAAATTTTGAATAAAGCATGAAAATTTGTTACCAAAAATATTTTCTAAAAAATTTGTTGTTTATACAAACATGCGAATTACGAAACCCATAATATGATATCATCTTGAGTCAAGGGAGCATATTCGAGCAGAAAAGGTCAAGGTAAACAACAACACAAAACTCATTATGGGATAAAAATATACTGTGATTTGTGATGATCAAAAATTTACAGAGGTTATTTATCAATTGAATTTAGATTTTAATACGCTATTCCTTAAAATCCGTATATGGTTATCGTGTTGAGTGATCTCTTCTCTCATATGTATTTTTAATCATTGACTAACTAAAAATGGAAAAATATAATTAAAGGAAAAAATCGTGGCTAATTGCATTGTGTTTATCTTTCGTTACCATGCATTCTTTGTTTGCTGTGTAACATTAAAATCCATAAAGTAAACCAATGGTTTGGATCTACCACAATATGGCAGAAAAAATTTCGGTTTTATCCTTGACAAATATAGATTGTCAAATGGTTTCTCCATTTGATAAACTCACCGATCATATCATATAAAAAAGAGAATGTGATTATCTTATATTCTTATGATAGAATACGGTTCTTTATGGTCTATTCATTCTCAAAATTATCAAAACCTTGTTATAATATATTTAGTGGCTTTTCTCGTGTGATGGTTTGACGAAAATACGTCGATGTGTAATTTATTAATCATAGCGGTCACGATGTCAAAATTCGTGAAGTGCATGTGTGAGGTATTGAAATGCTAGGGATAAAAAGTAAATCGCACATATTAACCAATATCAAATGAATGCGCTTTTGTTGTGATGTTCTTTTTTCGTAAGAAGGAAATTCATGTTGTGATGACAAAATAATGACACAAATAAACATTGTGTGTTTTGTATTTTATTTTTTATTGGTTCAATTTCTGATTGTTCGGATTTTTATAAATGTAACCAATTCTGAAAATCGGGGTTACACGAATACGTCTACCTATATTTACCAAATATTAAATCATTAAAAAAAAATTCGTTACATTTTAGATGACGGATTTCACGTCTACTATCCCAATATTAAAATAGCTACAAATAATATGTGGTCACGATCAAGCTGTCTCTAAGCAAACTTTTTTCATTAATGAAATGCTTATTACGAAAATCCAATTATATTGTCCAAATATATGCGTTATTCAGATATAACGATGTTAAGTGATAATCTATGACGCACGATACTGCGCCAATTATAGATAGTGATTTAGTGATTTGCCCGACGATCGCCATTCTTAACTTTCTATAATTTCTATAACGATAACTTCTATAATTTCTTATATTTCTTACGTTTCTACAGTATATTATTTTTCTTATTATATTTATTTTATTAATTTCTTATTTTTCTTTACTTTATTAAATATCTATTTTCTATTATGTATTTTATATAAATATCCTGTAAATTTGCCCTAATAAATCTAATAAAACAATAACATTTATCTCGAAAACTTAATCTTTGCTTGTTTATATGCATTCTTCTTAAATCTGTTTTAATGAAGATGACCTGACCCTTCAATATAATCAATTCATATCATATGCAAAAAGTTGCCAAAGCAGGTGTTACAATTTATCACCAAGATGAATAATCATTCATTAGTAATTCCAGATAGATTAGCAGTTTTGTCAGCTAAAAGCAGTGTTCACCATTCGCAAATGACTCAAATGACAAATAACCTATCATTTCAATAAATTTTAAATATATCAAATTTTTATTATTTATTTTGTTTATTATAGTATAAATAAGTTAAATTTATTAAAATATTTAATTATGTATACTAAAAAAAATATTTCATATTTAGCAAATATTTTAATTATAATATATTAAATTATATTTGAGTTCTGAACAAGTTGACTCAAATGCGAGTCAGATAAATCCTATCAAGTTCTAAACTCAAGTTAAAATTGAACAATTTTATAGTTTTTTTAAAAGAATAATAGAAGAACTGTTTTAAAGAATAATAAAAACTATTAATCTGATAAAATAATAAAAAATCATTCTAAAGGAATGGTAAAAACTATTATTCCTTAAGAATGATAATTTTAAAGAAATAATAAAAACTATTGTTTCTTAAGAATAATAAAAAATTGTTTTAAAAGAATGATAAAAACCATAGTTTCTTAAAAGTGATAAAAGATTATTCTAAAAAAACAATAAAAAATTCATTTTTTAAGAATAATAAAGTATGTTCTAAAAGAATGACTAAAATTATTATTCCTTAAGAATAATAAAAATTATTCTATCAGAATGAGAAAAAATGATTCCTTAAAAATGATAAAAATTTGTTCTAAAAGAATAATACAAAAAAATCATTCCTTAAAAATGATAAAAAAAAAACTTTTTTTTTGGTCTATCAGAATGGTTTTTTATCATTTCTTAGAATAACGATTTATCATTCTATTAGAACAATTTTTTTGTATTATTCCTTTAAAATGATATATTATTATTCTATTAAAATGATTTTTTTTATCATTTCTTTAAAAATAATCTTTTATCATTTTTAAAAAATAACATTTTTATCTTCTTTTAGAATGATTTTTTTTATCATTCTATCAGAATGCTATTTTAATTGTTACTTTAAAATAATTTTTTATTATTCTAATCAGAATGATCTTTCTATAATTTCTTTGGAATGATCCTTTATCTTTAGGAAATAAAAATTGTAAAACTCTTAAAGAATTATAATACTTAGTAATAGTATCACTAAAATTTTTGTAAAAATAAATAACTAAATAGCAAATAATTTAAATGATCTTAAATGTCCTTAATGATTTATTATTTATTATTTAGATAATTTACAAAATGATAAATATTAAATAATTTAGAATTATAATAAAGGAATAAACTAATCCTATAAATAATGATATCAGACCTCATTAAAGTTACTGTATTACAATGATCTACAAAATTAGCATTGTTAACTTTTTCAACTTCTTTAACGCTTTTAACTTCTTTAACATATTTATAATTTTTATATTATTTATTTATTTCATATTATATATATTTATTTTATATTTTAATTTTATTAATTATATTATCAATTTATTATAAAGTAACATTAAATATAGTTTTCTTATAAATGTAATTTTGTATAAATAGGATAAAAAGTTACTCTTATAAAAGAACAACTCAAGAGTGTGAGTTCAAGATTTAGAATCTAAAAGTAAGGATCTTTAAGCATACAAATATAAAATAAAAAGGAATCTCTTTCTAAATAATAATCTATAATTTTCTTTTAAAGTGTCTGAAAGTGTTTATCTTTATTATAAAGTTATAAAGTTAAACTTGTGTAAAATACTTACTAGTTAATAAACTCAAATGTTGATCATGATAAGACTTATCTCATAATAATCATAATTAAATATACATATTACTTCCTGTTATTAAGTCAATATTACCTTAAGTTTGACGGTTAAGCATAGGTTAACAATGATCAAATCATCAAATCATTACCAAAGACTAGTTAGAAGAAATTTAATAGTTAAAATCTATTTATTAATTGTAAAATGTTGCATAAAGTTAGAGTACAAAAAAGCATCTATATGATTTTTAGGATTATATTAATTTCTCTATCTACTATTTATGATATTAATTAAAGTTATTAGAATAGCATAATTTTAAAAAAATTTCAATAGAATCTATCATAAATCTTTTATTACTAAAATTAGAATAATTTTATTAATAATATATCCAAAATAATTGTTCTCTTTTTTCTATTTAAGATAAAATCTATTATTTTAAAAATATTATTTAAAAGATTATTATATCTTTATTGATATATTACTTTTATAATTTTATGAAAATTTAGTTTAACCTATAAAGATAAAGACTTATAAGATACTTTTAAATAAGATATAACACTAGATATATTTATGAATATAAGAATTTATAAAAATTAAAAGAAGAAACTTTATATTATCAATGATCTTATTAAGAGTAATAATAATGCTAAGCTAATAAGCTAATTAAATTATATTAACTATAGCTGCTATTGAATTAGTTTTTCTTTAAATATAAAAAATTTATTTTACAATTTAAGTAGCTATTAAAAATTAGAATAATCATAATAAATTTTATTATTTAACAAGAACAAAATTAAATTTAGGAATACTTTTTTACTAGTAATAATAGTAGTAATTTTAATAATTATTTATAGTATATTCATATTATTATGAGTTTTAGGAATATTTTTAATGAAAATCTGTGTATTTTATTTATTTAGAAATATTCATTGCTTTAATATTAGAATATGTCACTTATTTTAGTTTATCAATATTTTCAGAATAATGTAATTTCTAAAAATAAATGATGATTATAAAAAAATTTGAATTTCTAAATTCTATAAACCTATAATATTAACCAATTAAATTATAGTAAAATTTTAAGAAATTATATTAGAAAATCAATATTCTCCTTTTATTAATATCATATGTTATAACATAATGATTTAAATTAACTATTTTGATTAGTTTATACTTTTTTATGAAATCCTTTCTTTCTTTCTTATAAAACTCTTATTTTTTTTTTATAAAATTTTACTTACTTTCTCATGAGATTCTTACTCTTTTTTATGAAACTTTTATC